CGTGGTGGGGGCGGGGATGGGTGACTCGGTCAGAGTCTGTCTTCGCGCTGGAACGCAAGCCCCACAGGCCACGGGCCTGGCCCTGTGCACAGAGCTCATCTGTCACCAGGTGAGCAAATCCATGAACTGCCCAAGAAAGTGAGCTGCGGAACCCCAGGAGAGAGGACCGGAAGCCGAAGCTCCCAGATGCACACGGCTGTGAGCGCAGCGTCTGCACCCCTCCCCTCCCCAGCAAGGTTTCCTCCGCTTTCAACACGCTGGGCCTGACAGCATGGGGATTCCCGTCCTCCAGCTCTAGCTGCCTGGCCATCGCACGCCTTTCTGACGGAGAGGGAGGACGGTTTGGGTGGAAGTGCGCTGCGCTCCGAGCCCAGGTGCAGAGCGCGGGGTTCGGCTCTTGGCACTGAGATCACCAGCTGTGGGACCCGAGCAAATGCCTGTCTCTCTGTGCCTCGGTTTCCCGTCCGCTCGAAGATGGAGCGGCGGTGGTGCCCACCCCGCAGGGTTCTCCCGAGGACTGAGCTCCTGCCTGTACGGAGCTGAGAGCAGGGGTGGCACGCGCAGAACGGAGCGGAGCGTGTGCACAGAGAAGGGCCACAGCCCCCAGGCCCCTCCGGGAGAACCCCTGCGCCCTGGTCACCAGCGCAGACCCGTCCCCTGGCCCCGGGTGAAGTGCTGGGCAGCTGGAGGGAGCCCCCGGCACCAGGGCCCAGAAGTGACCTTGCTCCTGAGGTCTCTGGCCTCTGGCTCCAGGGTCAGGAGGGGGGGCAGCCCGGGGAGTTCCGAGGCGGGCAGGCCGGGCCGTACCAGGCAGATGCAGCTCAGGCACGGGTCCAGCACCGACGGGAAGGTCTGGTTGTTGAGGAAGGTCCTGCCCGTGTAGGTGCAGCCTGCGGAGAGGCACGTGGTGAGCGCCACGGGCGGCTGGGGGCGGGGTGGCCGGTGACCCCGCTCCTGCCAGGGCCAAGGTCCAGGCCTATCTGGGGGGTGAAGGTTAGGCGCTGGAGAAGGGACAGCACACGGGTCAGGGTTTTGGCGCTGGGCTCGGCAGAGGGGTCAGAGTGTCGGCCCGTCCCGGGCGGCGGTCCCCCAGCCCAGCCCCTGGGTCAGGCGCTTCCTCCTCTATCCCTCGCCTGGTGCGTAGGACACAGGCCTAGGACACAGCTGGGTGCCTGCACCACAGCCATGCCCTCTGCTGCTCCCACTCGGCCGAACCCAAGCCCGAGCCCACCTTCCAGAACATTCCTCCGCACCTCCCCGCTCTCTGCCTCCGGAGGCCCACGTACATGAAACCTTGATCTACTTACCTCACACTAGTAGGTAAAAAAGCAGGTGATGAGACAGTAAGGAAGTATTTTCAAGGGGAAAATATATGTAACCTATATCTAGTATATGTTAGGTAGAGATGTATATTATGGATGTTAGATAGACATACAGATATTATATCACAAAAAGAGCCTGGGAAAACAAAACCATGAGATTTCGAAGTGATAATGGGCACTTCTTAATTTCTTTATTTCTGCTTTCTGTGTGTTCTAAATGTCTGACAATAAAAGGTTACTTTTGAAACAAGGGAGAAGCTTCTGTGAATAAACTGGCACTTTTACTCTCTCTCCCTGTTCTGTTCCCAGGTACGGCTCCTTTGTCACCCAGCCAGGCTGCCTCCAGCACCCAGACAGGGCCTGCCACGAGCAAATTCTCTACGTCTCTGAGCCTCCGTTTCCTCATCTGTAAAATGGGGTTGCCCACGGGGCAGTTGTGAAGATGGCCCGGATGGCTGTGTGGCGCTTCACGCGGAGGAGCCTGGTACCGAGAGAGCCCGAGTGCACGGCGGAGAGGGGTGCCGGGGAGCCCCCCGCGGGGAAATACCTGCCGAACAGTCCGGGCAGCACTGTCCCGGGATCCGGATGGGGTGAGGGCACGAGTCCACGCAGTCTGTCCGCTTGCAGCTCACGGAACCATCTGCCTGAGGGAACGAGGAACTTCACCAAGACCCCGCCTGCGACGCCAGTCTCCGCCCCACGCCCACTCGCCCTCCCGGTCCCCCCAAAAGAGGGCGAGGCTGCAAATTGGCCAGGGCTCGTCCTCAAAGGCGCCCCGACGCAGCAGGAGGTGGCGGGTCTCCCCCAAAGAGGACCAGCGACTTGGGAAGGGGTGTGGGCTTCCGAAGGCCCCATCTCCAAGGACAGGGGAGGTCAGAGCGGGGGCCTGGTCCCTCGGCTTCCTGTCTGCTCCAGTGGCAGCCAAGGCTGCGCCATCACCCCCCAAATTCTGCCCTCGGCGTTGCCCTGGGACCCGGGCTCACCCCCACCGACGGAGTGTAGTAAAATCCCGTTTATATCCCCACCCGCGGTGTCTGTTTCAGAAGACAAAGCGCCCTGCCAGCTTGCTCCGTCCCCCTAAGATCGGAATGCTCATGAACCTCAGTGACTTTCTCAGAACCCAACTCGAATTCCAGTGACAGGCTTCCGGGTCTCTAAGGGTCTAAGGCAGTGGTTCTCAACCTTCCTCATGCCGCGGCCCTTTAATACAGTTCCTCATGTTGTGGTGACCCCCAATTTCATTGTTACAAATTGAACATAATTAAAGCATCGTGATTCATCACAAAAACAATATGTAATTATATCTGTGTTTTCCGATGGTCTTAGGCGACCCCTGTGAAGGGGTCGTTCGACCCCCAAAGGGGTCGCGACCCACAGGTTGAGAACCGCTGTTGTAGTGGGAGACGTGTTGCTTTTAACAAACGGCACGTCCAAGGGACTCGAAGGCTGCGCTTCTCACAGGCGGGTGCACCCCCACCACCCCGTCACCCCATCGCCGGCAGGAAGCGCCTGTTCTGAGCGGGAGGTCAGGGCGGCAGGATGTTCTACGCCACCAGGCCCGGGGGACGCCCATGGCTACGGGTGCCGGGGCCGCTGTGACATAAGCGCTAAGGCCTGAGCTCTCGCAGCAGAAAGGGAGGCGGGACGCACTGAGACACGGAGCCAACAGGATCGTGGTTCTCGGAGGGAATGTTTGCCTTCCATCCACCTGCCCTGAACTCCAGCACCTTCTCCTCGTCCGTTTCTGAGGCAGGCGATGCGGCCACACGACTCACACCAGCGACGACAGCACTGCGCTTTCACAGGAGAGGCCTGCACCCCTGGCCGCAGGGCCCTCGGTCACCTGTGCCCGGGACCCTGCTCGGAGGACGCCACCCCCAGCGCAGCGGCAACCCTAAGGCGGACAGCGTGTGCCGAGAAGTCTACCGAGGACAGCATATGCCGGGCCCGACGCTTTCTGTCGAATGGAGCTGGACGGGGCGGGGACAGGCTGAGGGGCCTGAGGGCAGGGAGCCTGGGACACGAGGACCGGGTGGGGGGGGTCCGCTCGGGGGGCGGGGAAGGAGAGGGGGGGGAAGCAGCTGAAGGCGCTCAGGTTGCCATTCACCTGGCAGATGCACAACTCACAGGGGTCACCAGGAGACCAGATCTGTCCCACCGGAAACTCGGCCCCGTTGTCGTCGAGAGAGCAGCCTGGCCAGGGACATGGGGGAGGAAGGGCAAGTGGGTCCCCCGGCGAGGACAGACGCCTCCACTCGTCCACGCTGTGCAGGAGCTCTGAGGGGGACCCTCACCCTGCCCGGCACCCTCAACCCTGCACACAGGCGCCCGGTGCACACAGGCCCGGTCACACCAACACAGGCTCACACGTGCACCCGTGAACACACATTCACACGGAGAAGCCATTCACACAGACACACACACACACATGCAGATGCCACTCACACAAACACACGCTCACATGTGCACCCATGAACACACATCCACACGGAGAAGCCATTCACACAGACACACACACACACATGCAGATGCCACTCACACACAGACACAGACACGCACACAGACTTACACACTCAGGCGCACTCTGAGCCCCGGGACGCACGGCCGGGGCGCTCACCTGTCTTGGGCGCGGGCTCCCGGCAGGTGAAGCAGCACTGCCCAGGGCCCAGCCACCACTCCTCGCGGGGGCAGTCCAGCTCCGGGCACGGTGTGAAGGCACATTCCACTTCCCCATCCTGGGAGGAAGCCAGAGGGCACGGCCGTGAGGGCAGCTCCCCGCCCTGGGCCAGGGGAGGGCTGAGGAGGGGGCTGCCCTCCCCTCCTAAAAGCGACAGAAATCTCCAGGGAGCAAGAGGGAGGCAGGGCGAGTCCTTGGGGGGTGGGGGAGCCTGGGCGGAGGCTGGCGGGTCCTGGGGATGTGCCAGCTGCTGGTCTGGAGGGTCCCCTGCCCGCGGGGCCGCAGCCACCAGCATCCCTTCCCCTCGCTCCGCAAAGCAGCGTCCCTCCGGCTCCCTGCCTCCTGCTCTCACCGATCTGCTCTCGCTCTGCAGCCAGACAACTTTCCCTCCCACCAACCTGATGCCCTCGCGCCACCACTTAAACCGCCAGCAGCGCCCCCAAGCCCCAAGCTCTAGCCCGGCTGGCAGCGCCTCTCAGGACTGAGTCCGAGGCTGAGGCTGTCGCTGCCCCCCCCCACCCCCCGCCAGGCTCCTTCCCCTGGGCACTGCCCTCGGCCAATGGGGACCAGGTCTTCCAGGTGTCGATGGCTCCTTTGCCTGGTCTGGAGGGTCCCCTGCCCGCGGGGCCGCAGCCACCAGCATCCCTTCCCCTCGCTCCGCAAAGCAGCGTCCCTCAGACTCCCTGCCTCCTGCTCTCCCTCTGCAGCCAGACAACTTTCCCTCCCACCAACCTGATGCCCTCGCGCCACCACTTAAACCGCCAGCAGCGCCCCCAAGCCCCAAGCCCTAGCCCGGCTGGCAGAGCCTCTCAGGACTGAGTCCGAGGCCGAGGCTGTCGCCCCCGCCCCCTCCCGCCAGGCTCCTTCCCCTGGGCACTGCCCTCGGCCAATGGTGTCGATGGCTCCTTTGCCCCCGACTCCCTGGGGAGCCAGGGAGCATACACAACCACTGCTGCTCAAGGCCTCTGACACGCCCATCGCTGCGGGGAATGCACTCCAGCCCTAGGGCACCAGCCCGAGCCTGGCCCGCCTGCACTTGGCTCCCTCCCTGCCAGTCCTGCTCGCCTCACCTCTTCTCCTCCTCGGAGCTCCCTCAGAACATCACCTACAATCCTGACCCAGGCTCAGCCCAACACAATCCCTCCTGCAGCCTCCTCCCTCCTGCAGCCTCCTCTCTCCTGCAGCCTCCTCCCTCCTGCAGCCTCCTATCTCTCCTGCAGCCTCCTCTCTCCTACAGCCTCCTCTCCTACAGCCTCCTCTCGCCTGCAGCCTCCTCTCTCCTGCAGCCTCCTCTCTCCTGCAGCCTCCTCTCGCCTGCAGCCTCCTCCGGCCTGCAGCCTCCTCTCCCGCCTGACCAGCCAGGGTGTAGAGGCCGTGCTCTCGCCTGATTGGTGCGAGTCACCCCTCAGTCTCGCCTTAGCATCCCCCCTCCAAGAAGGCTTCCTGGAGCCTTCAGCTCTGGTCACCTGCCCACCCTCCACCTAGGCTGTGGGGCCCCCGACAGAGGGGACTGGGGCTGCCTGTGCCTGGCTGTGTCCCCAGCACTCAGCATTGCTCCAGGCACACAGTAGGTGCTCTACAAATAGCCCTGCCGGAGGACGAACTTCAAGGAGCCTGCGGAAGGCCTTGGTGAGTGGAGACCCCTTAGCCCCCCTGCTGCCCAGTCCCCCTTTGTCTGCGAGCTGGCACCTCTCCTCCGGGCCGAGGCTCCTCCCCGTCACCCATGTCAGCCCCTACCTGGCAGGCACAGGTGGTACACGCGTCGCCATCCCCGCTGAACATGGCCCCGTCTGCATACCACCGGCCGTGGAAGTAGCACCTCCCTGCGGAGAGGAAGGGGAGAAGCAGCTCAAGGCCTTTGGGTGGGGGCAGCTGAGGAAAAATGGGGAGCAGTGGGTGGGGGCCAGGGAAGCTGACACTCCTACGACACGGCACAGCACAGCCCATGCCCAAGAACCCCACCCGCTTCTCCCCTCCGGCTCAGCGGTTGAGCGTTGACCTATGAACCAAGAGGTCAGGGTTCAATTCCCAGTCAGGGCACATGCCTGGGTTGTGGGCTCAATCCCCAGTGGGGGTTGCAGGAGGCAGCCGATCAATAATTCTCATCACTGATGTTTCTACCTCTTCCTCTCCCTTCCTCTCTGAAATCAAGATAGATAGATAGATAGATAGATAGATAGATAGATAGATATAAAAAATATGCTAATAATTGCCAAAACTGGTTTGGCTCAGTGGATAGAGCGTCGGCCTGTGGATTGAAAGGTCCCGGGTTCAATTCCGGTCAAGGGCATGTACCTGGGTTGAAGTTGCCTGCCTCAAGGATGCTTCACTGTAGGCACCCAGACAAGCAGATCTGCTTGCCAGAGCCCCTCTTACTGCTCTTCCCTCCCACCTCCCCATGTTTCCAAGAAGCAATCCTGGTAAAAACGTCTCTTATAATGTGTTGAGTTGAATTGGGGGTGGGGAATGGATGCATTTGAAACCGAGTGTGGGTGCCCAGATGTGTGCCCATGGGATGTGTCTCTGTGGTGCCCCTAATCATGCCAGAGAAACTAGCACTGATGAGAACTTGGCCTGAGGCCAGAGAAGGCTACAAGGCTCTGACCTGCTGGGCTTCCTTAGCTTGCACTGCAGCTTTGCAAAGAGCCACCTAGGCCCCAGCTGGCCATATGCATGTGAGCCAGTGCAAGAACACTACTGTAACTACTCAATAAAATCCAGGGTGTAAACAGAAAAGGAAAAAATCACCCTGACCAGTTTTGCTCAATGGCTAGAGCGTCGGCCTGTGGACTGAAGAGTCCCACGTTTGATTCCGGTCAAGGGCATGTACCTTGGTTGCGGGCACATCCCCAGTAGGGGGTGTGCAGGAGGCAGCTGATGGATGTTTCTCTCTCATGGATGTTTCTAACTCTCTATCTCTCTCTCTTCCTCTCTGTAAAAAATCAATAAAATATATTTTAAAAAATAAAAAAAATATATGCTAATACTTAAAAAATGACAGAGAATGAACCACGAGTAAAAACGTCCTTAACCCAAAGGGCCAGGGAGGCCCAGAACTCAAGAGGAAGAGAAAAGAAGAAACGGAAGAGACTGGCCAGACACGGAGACAGCTCTGGGCACCTGGCCCTCCGGGGGCGCAGGGAGGACTCGGGGAGAGCCTCTCACCCGAAGACCCCCCCACAGGCAGCAGCAGCCTCCAACCCGCCCAGGCCCAGCCGCGCTAGTCAGGCTGCCCTGGGTTCAAATCCCACCCACACGACCCACAGGGAGTGGCTTTGGACACGACTCGCCAACTCGCCGAGCCTCCGTTTTCCCGTCCGTTCAGTGGGGTTGCTAACAGTTCCCACCTCCTAAGAGTACATCGCCTATTCAAAAGAACGTTTCAATTAGAAGTAATATCTAACATTTAAAGGTCAAGAACAAGTATTTTAAGAGGACGCCGACTCTGAAATGGGTAGGCTTGAGTTTAGCTCGTGCCTGCACTCACTGGTGTGCCTCCTCCGGGCAGTGCCTTGAGCTCTCTGAGCCTCAGTTTCCTCATCTGTGAAATGGAGCTACGAAGGTGGCTCCCTCAGGGCAGTGCCCCACGGAGCAGTGAGATCAAGGTCTGGCAAGTGCCCGCACAGCGACGGCACTGAGCCGGCAGGGAATGTCAGTGACGGCGATGAGGTCATCCCGGGAAACAGAACCGAACTTTGAAGAAAGGACCAGCTCAGCAGTGGGGAAGTCGAGGCCCGTCTCCGTCGCGAGACAGCAAAGACAGAGTGGGCTCCACCCCCTTCCTGCCTGTGTCGGAGGTGCCTCCGGGGCCAGAGGGCAGGCCAGGCCTTGAGCCCAGTCTAGCTTCCAAACCACTGAGCACACACTAGGTGCTCCACTAAAATGGGCAGTTTGAAATGCTTCCCTTGATCTGCATGTCTAAGCGGAAATCAACCCTTCCTCTCTCTTCCACTCACCTCGCCCCCAAAAATATACTCAGAAGACACCCCTCCCCAGAACACCCTAAAAAGCTACATGCTCCCACCCACCCCCACCCGTCACTCACCTGGAGCACAGGTGCAGCAGTCCGACTCCGGGGAGGTCTCACAGGGGCCGGGAGGACACTCGGGGGAGATGCAGGACACATTTCCAGCCTGAGGAGGTGAGAGGCGGCGGGTGGGGGGCGGGGAGAGGCGAGCCAGGCTCTGGGGCCCCGCAGGCCCATCAGGGACCAGCCAGTCCCCACCAGTCACACCACCCGGGCTTCCTGTCCAACGCAGGAGCCCCCTAACAGCCTTCCCAGACCTTCAAATGCCGCGTGATCCCAGCAAGGGGAGCCTGAGGGACCAGGGTCTGGCGTGTATTTGGGGTGGTGACAGCACCTCCCTCTCCGAGGCGAGGCCGGACGGAGGGCAGGGGTGCTGCCTGCGGTGGAAACGCACCTCCCCAGCCTCCCACAGCGCCCGCTGGCAGCACGCGGAGAAGGACGCAGAGGCGGAGGCCACTCCCCCAGGACACCTTCCGACGCCTACATTAGCTACTCAAAGGGTCAAACTTAAAAGCGTGTCTTAAACACTTGAAGTTCAAACCAAAAAGCCCCTGGCTCTGGAGCCGGAGACCCGAGCCCCAGCCGGCTCCTCCACTCACATCCGACCCCGTCCATCGCCCTCCGAGCCTCGGTCGCCCAGCTGTCGGGGAAGCTGAGGACTGGGTGAGAGGAGTCACCCACAACAGCCCTCGCTACTGATCTTGTGAGCTCACCAGGCAGACGCACACTCACCAGGCAGACGCAC